GGTTCTTGTCAAGGAACTCAGCAGGGACGGCAGCACGGTAGCGAGCGTCGCTAGCGCAAAGGTGGGAAACCAGGTCCTCGACTGTGGCAAAGGCAAACAGCTCGGGGAATAGGTAGGGCAGAAGCAGGCGACCTAGAGCAGCAGTGGCAGGGGAGGAGTAGCGAGCGACTACAGCATCGTACAGTGCCTGTGCGGTCCTGTGCTGTCCGAAGTGAGCGCATTCGGCTAACGGTAGGTGGTTACGAATGGCTAAGCGGGCAGCAGCGTCGCGAGAAAGCCACTGTGAGCGAGTCGCACTGTCAGCTGTGGTGGGAGGGGCAGTAGCGGCACCGGACACGTGGTCAAACAGGGAAACACCGTCCTTAATATCGCTCAGTAGGTACAGCTGCAGCTCGTCGAGCCACGTGTCAAAATGAACCGGTCGACCCTCATGATTGAATGCGAGAACTCGAAGCAAGGCCATAGTGGCACAGTATGCAGGAGCAGCTGTAGCAGTAGTAGTAGTCAAGGGGCTTAGGGGCCTAGGGCCTAGGGGCCGAGGGGCCAAACACGAGGGGCCAAGGGGCCAAAGGGGCAATGGTGCCTAGGGGCGAGGGGGCGAGGGGCCAAGGGGTGACATGCCGCTGGGCCAGGTGCCGAGGGGCGAGGGGTCGAGGGGCCAAACGAGAGGGGCCATGTGGCCGAGGGGCTAGGGGCCAAGAGGCCAAACACGAGGGGCCAAGGGGCCGAGGTGCCAAGGAGTGAGGGGCCGAGGGGCCTGGGGCCTAGGGCGGAGGGGCCGAGCTAGGGGCGACGGGGTCGACGGAGCCAAGGGGCCGAGGCGACGGGGCCGACGCTAGGGGCGACAGGGGCCTAGGGGCCGAGGGGCGCGGCTAGGAGCGACGGGGCTGACAGGGTCGCGGGGCGCGGCTAGGGACAACGGGGTCGACGGGGCCAACGGGGCCGAGGGGCCGAGCTAGGGGTGACGGGATCGACGAGGGTCGCGTTTAGGGGCGACGGGGGGGCGCGACTAGGGGCGACGGGGTCGACGGGGCCAAGGGGCCGAGGCTACGGGGCCGAGGGGCCGAGCTAGAGGCGACGGGGCCGATGCTAGGGGCGACGGGGCCTAGGGGCCGAGGGGCGCGGCTAGGGGCGACGGGGTCGACGGGGCCAACGGGGCCGAGGGGCCGAGCTAGGGGCGACGGGGTCGACGGGGCCAAGGCTAGGGGTGGCGATGGGCCGGGGCCTAGGGGCAACGGGTGCGGGCCTAGGCTAGCAGGGCAGTAGGTGGTGGGCCCAAAAAAAAAAAAAAAAAAAACCGGTCCTAGGGGACCTGCTCTGAAACCATGTTAAAATGTTCTGAACGAGGATGGATGAACTAGCAAAGAGTTGGGTACAAGTACTAACCCTAATTGGGTTGTACCCCTTATAGGCTACCCTACTATAGCCTACACAAATGTAAAAGCTATAATGTTCTGACAAATGCTCCAGCATCTCCTCATCATTGTAGTGTGGGCAGAGCGGCTCGTCATTTAGGAAAGCAAGTTGCTCCCCCACCTGGAGATTGAAGTTATAAACCCTCGTGAGGACATCTCTTGGCCTGCTGGGGGTGACCAGAGATTCCTTGATGCCCAGAATTTTCCTCCAGTTGATCGAACCATTCCACCGTCCAGCCCAGCGCAGCATCCGATGCGATTGCGCATACCTCCCCTTCCAGTGCTCCCGCATCTCCCTCAGCGGAATCATCCCCCCCAGACTTCAGTATCGGAATGCGCGGAAAGGCTGCTCGTGGAAGGGGTCAGCAGGACCTCTCTCCATTTCTCTGGAGCTGTTGCGAAAGCCTTTAGCGTTAGCCTAGCAGGGCCCTTTCCCCCAAGCTGCTCCGTTAACTCCCGCATGGCTTTCAGCCCACAGCTTCCGTCCTGCCATTGCTCCACCAGGTCACCCAACACCCAGTCCCATAATTCCTCCACATGTTTCTGTCCTCCCACCGGCGCGGTGACTCCCATCATGATCGCTCGGTTAAAGACCAAATGCTCCCTCCCGATCTCCTCTCGAGACTCTCCAACCGTCCTTATGCTGAGGGGCGATTTCATGAAAAATTCGCAAGTCTGTTTCCAGCGCTTGCTTCTCCCCTCCCAGTGCCGCAAGAGTCGGTCGTGCGATGTGAAGGTGTCGAAGCCCAGTGGCAGATCTGCTGCCTTTATCATCAGCTCCCGCTTTAACTGGTCCACCTCCGTCATCATCAAACCGACTCGCCTTGCTGCCAGACACGCGAGTGTGATGCCCGGGTCGTTCACCCCTAACCCTCCGTCCTGTCTTGGAGTATAGAGTAATTCTTTGCTCCAGAGCAGGAAAACCTTGGTCGGTGTTGCCTTATAGCCCGACACAAAATTATGTATCAATTTCTCCAGCTCCTTCCATACTTTTGCAGGTGGCGGGTATAGTTGTGCTTGGAAGGTCATCATCGGCTAAATATGGCAGTTCGCAACCACTCCTCTTGCCTTTTCCGTGAGAAATTTTTGCCTCCACTTTGTCAGCCAGGCGTTGCTCCGCAATGTCTAAGCCCAGCTACCTTCTCTCCACTTCTTGCACTACTGGCTCCACCGCACACAGAAAAAGGTACGGTGCCAGCGGGCAGCCTTGCCGCACCCCAGACACCACCTCTATGCCGTTGCCCAACCAGCCATTAACCAGCATCCTTTGTCGCAGTGTGTAAGTGCAGGCCCTTCACCCACGAGATGAAACGGTCTGGAAAACCCATGCGTTCCAATACATGGAAGATGAAACCCCTCGACACCGAGTCGAAGGCCTTTTGAAAGTCAACGAGTAACAGAAACCAATCCTCATTCCCATTCTTTGCCGCATCGATGATGTCAGCTACCAATGCAATGGCATCCGTAAGTCTCCGTCCAGGAATGAAGTCGTACTACTCCGGCGATAGCACCCGGTGAAGCACCTTTTTCAATCGATCTGCCACCACCTTGGCCAAAATCTTGTACGTGAAACTAAGCAGGGTGATCGGCCGGTAGTTGTTAACTGCTCCCTCTCCCCTTTCTTATGCAGGAGGATAGTCACTGCCTCTTTGACTTACCCCGGAAGTGCAGCGGATGTCGTGAAATATTTTACGAGGGCCATGAAACTTCCTCCCAGAAGGTCCCAGTTGGCCTCGAAAAAATCCTTCGGCAAACCGTCGTTCCCCGGTGACTTGTTTTTTGCCAGAGCTGCGAAGGCTGCTCTCACCTCCCCCTCTGTCCAGTCTGCTTCTAGCTCCCTTGTGTCATAGGCTCGCAGTCATTTATCTGGAACCGGAACCCACTCCCTGCAGTCGGACCGCCTGTCTCTTCCTAAAATTCATTTGAAGTAGTCCGAAGCGGCTGCAAGCACCTGCTACGAGCCTGACACCATTCCCCCTGCCACTTTGACTTCTGCGATACGCGTTCGGCTTTTCCGCGCCTTAACCTGCGCGGATAACTGCTTCGTCGAGATCTCACCGTTGAGCTCCACATCCAGGCCCGCCATCATATGAAGGCGATCTTGTCTCCATGCAAGATACTCCTTCAGCATGGCCTCCTTCCCTTCCAGAGCTCCCTTCTCCGGTCACATTTCGGGTTCTGCATGGCCTCCTGCCTCAACGCTGCCACAGCCGACACCAGGTGCGTGAAAGTTGCCCTCACCCTCTTGTGCTCCTCCTTCGTGTAACGTCTAAGCCTGACATTGAGTCTGGAGGTTAGGAGCTCGTAGTTCCGTCCATCCGTTACTGACATTTTCCCCAATGTTTCCTCAATGATACATCGGACCCTCGGCCTGTTCGAGAGTGATGCATCCAACCTCCAGATACCGGGATCAAGGCGGGCTCTGTCATCTACCTTGAGCATAACCTGGATCGCAAAGCCATGGTCTGTGATTCTCTCTTTTGGGGAGACATGCGAGGCGTCAACTAAAAACGGTAAGAGGGACATGGACACTAAGGCTCTATCTATTCGGGAGATTTCTCTCTTGGCTGTGGAATAGAATGTATACTCTCGGTCTCTAGGATAAAGCGTGTGGTATGCGTCTGACAGTTGGAAGGCGTTGCAGCGGTTAATGAGTCTGTTGTTTTCGGATGACGATGTCATAACATTATAGCTTATACATTTGTGTAGGCTGTAGTGGGGTAGCCCATAAGGGGTACAACCCAATTAGGGTTAGTACTTGTACCCAACTGTTTGCTAGTTCATTCATTCTCGTTCACAACATTCTAACAGGCGAGCCTTTTTCTGATGTTTTGTCCAAGGCAGGGTCTTCTATTATGTTCAAGTCTCCAATGATGAGGAGGTTGGAACTTGGTCGTATCTGATCTATCACTGGACCATGAATGTTAAGGATGAAAGGCTTTCTAACTGCGGTACCCGCCGGAAAATAGACTGCTATCAGTGTAAACTGTAAGCCAGGACCATCTACGTCGGTGCGTATGATTCTGCCTGAAGGATGTGAAACGGTGTTGGAGAATCCTAAGGATAGGTTGCTGCTAATGACTGCGACTCCGCCCGCCTTCGCTCTAGGGGAGGCAGCTGCTACTGTGGTGAAGCTAGGTGAAGACCTGTAAGGGTGGGATTCCGCTAATCTACTGTCTGTTAAAACTACTATGTCTGCTGCATCTTTTAACCACTTGATATTGCTCTCTTGTTTTCCTCCACCTCCTAAGCCGTTGACATTGAGGCTCGCACTGGTGATGATGTTTGGCTTGTTAATCAATTTACCACTGTCTGGCAGCCCCTATGCATCTACAAGCAAAGTCAGGCAATTGAACCAACAACACTGACTACTGAACACACGCGAGCCACCGTGAGAAGCCTCCTGCTCATATCCTATATTGCCTCTTGGTGGCAGCAAGCCTGATGTTTTCAAGGGATGCCTTGGTAGCGGTTCCAATCTTCTCCAGGTTGATAAGGTGAGCCGCTGAGGTGACATGGTCCTTCGCCGACATGAAGCACTTCCCGTGAGCTTTGTTGCAGCCGGCCTTCGTGCATAGCCACTCTTCACTGCTGCTCCCGGTCGAGATGAGAGCCAGAGCCGGGTCCTTCAGGAGGGGGAGGACTAGCAGGGTGGCTTTCGGAGACGATGTTGCGAGAGCCAAGCGGAGAGTTAGTAACTGAAAAAAAGTAAGGTGAGGCGGATACCCTGATGCATGCGCTTAAAGTTTTTACCGTTCAGTCGATGCGCTTTCCCAACCGTCAGATTCCACTTCCCAACATTACCCTGACCTTCTACTGCGAAGACACTATGATACTTATCATAGTGTTGCCCGCCACAGAGCGTGCAAAGGCAGTGTAGTGGATCAGGATGGTCTTCGACCGATCTGCAGGATCTGACACCACGTGCAGCCAACGGTGCACATCTCCCATGAAAAGGTAGACAAGTCCTTTAACTGTCTCCGTGTCAGCACCAGTCACAGGGTGGAGGACACCGTGAAGACAGGAGCAGCTCTGGAAAGCCGGCCGCTTGCGGTTGGACAGCTTGTTGACACTGAGCCTGTCAGCAAGCCGATCAAGCTCCTCCAGAGCGGAGACACCACGGAAGATGACCTCGAGCGCGTGAGGGTTAAGCGCCTTCTCCCTCATGTAAGCCGGATTCTCAGTATGCTGCCAGTGGAGTTTCACCAGCTCTCCATCGTTAATCCTCTGGTAAAGCACTTCCTTACGCTTAACCGTCTCCGCATCCTCTTGCAGGGTAAAGGAGACGAGCAGCCGACCGAAGCGGACCTTGGCGACATAGGCCGGCAAAAGTTCCTGGAACTTGGTCGTGGTTTGAGCTTCAGCGGACAACTCTCCATTCCATCCGCGTTTGATCAGCATTGACACAGCATCAATAATAGAAGCAACTTCCTTTGCAACAACCAAGTTAACAGGAAACAGCATGATAAGTGTTGAACGCAGCTTGTGAGCCGACTCCTTATCCAGGTCGATCTCCATTTCCACATCCGAATCGTCTTCAATGAAGCCGTCAGCATCCACTGCCTTCTCTTCCACCGACAGGCCAGAGCTTCCCGCTGTAGTGTTGTTAACCGTTGACGAGATGCTGTCTGACGCTCCCAATGCCTTCTCTCCCGCAGGCTTGACCAACGGATCAACAGACGGATCAACAGCAGCAGGCTTGACCAGCGGGTCAACGGGTGGAATGGCACCACCATCAGCAGCAGCCTGGTCCATAATCAACTTGGATCTGGTATTCTTGGGATGCGCCATAGTGCGATGATGAGACTTAGGCAGGTTGAAAGCGTGCTGAGCACCAATGAAGAGAAAGCCTACCGAGCTTTTGAGCACGGACTGTTTAAGTAGTAATTTGATCTTGTCAGGTTCCTAGTATTCATGCTGATAGTAGAGCAAACTCGAGGTCGAAGCCTCGGGAGCTGATAGATGAATAGTCTTGATAGCACTGTTGTCAGAACACCATGCATTGTTATAGAACTGGAAAGACTTCACGCTGAGCTCCCGAGGCCTGGGGAGTATTCGGTTAACATCAGGGGTGGTCGCCTGATAACACGGAATGTCAATGTCGGAAGTAATGACAGAGTTTCCGATAGATGAGATATCAGCGATGCCGTTTATTAGATCAGATGTTAAAAGTGAACTCCCTGGCCGGGACATTGACGAGCTCGGACGCGTAGAAATCCATAGCTGCCGTCAGGTGAGCGACATGTTTTTTGGAATGGAATGTTCTGTTCCAGTCCAGAGGGAATTGATCTGCCCTGCCAGTGCGGGCAACGGAAAGGTTTGCCCGCAAACATTGTGGGTGTCAGACGTCGTGGACGGTGTGCTACGATTTGGTATGTTTTTGTAGGTTCTAATATGGTGGTGAGGGGTTATTGAAATGCTTGACTTGACGACCTTGGCTTGCAGAGCACGGCTGGCCTGAAAAATCACTACTCGTTACTGAAAGAGCCGCTGATTCAGTCGTAGCTCACCAAAGTTATTTCTATAGTGAGATTTAGTAGTTTCATGTAGTTACCACTCGTTACCAAGTATTTCCATTTGCTGAAAATGCGTCGTTTCGGCTTTTCCTATTCACACGAGGGAATGTCACATGACAAAATCTAGGAGGGAAGGGTAAGAGGGCCTACTACATTCGGCTCGAAAGCACCACCACACACTCACTTTCTCGGCCAGTTCTGACGCTTCTTTTTGCGATGCGCTGCTGACCTGGCAATGCTTATCCGGTCCGCGGCGACATTGGGAGTTGTTTCGCGGACCACTCTCGATGTAACGCATCGACCTACTTCTCGCCTAACTCCCTAGCTAACAACCTAACACTCAAAGGCATTCGTCGAGATTGCTCTTGATAGTTATTGGGCTACGAGTGAGTGAAGGTTGAGTTGGGAGAGAAAGGGTTGGGTTGGGAATTCCAAACCTCAACCAATAGGTTTGGGAAATTCCAACCCATCAAAGTGGAATGTTGAAGGTTGGATTTCCAACCAATCAGAAACTGCCAATTCGGTGTAACAATCTACTCTATCTTAAAAACAACCATTCAATGGTTCTAGGTTGGGTTTTCCCAACCCAACTAATTGCCACATAGGCTCCAAGCCTAGGAACCATCCCACCATGGAAACCATGGTTGGGATAGTTCCCCAAGGGGTGTATTGAGGGGGTCTGAGCTAAGCAAGCTCATTTTCTCAACCTCCCACTCCAACTAAACAATTGGAAATGGGATTATTTGGCTAAGTCATTTTGGCTCTCTCACAAGCTTCCCTACACTACTATTCCAAGTGTTTTCCATCAAAGGCATCAAGAAGATCTTCATCTCCAAGGCTATTAAGGCTAGTTAGAGCTACTATTTTGTATTGGAATATTATAAAAGCCTGGTAACCGCCATTATAATAGTCTTGGGCATTACATTGGTAACTAGAGCAAGGTTCTTCCTTGGCCTTGTGTGGCCATTTGCTACTTGGATATTTTTTTTAGAGGATCCTAGATTGTGGATCTAGGATTTTATCCAAGAAGCAGTGAAGATTTTGAAGAAATTTCAAGATCTACAACTGTTTCTTCAAGATCTACAAAAGCTTCTCCAAAGATCTACAAACTCCAAGCTACAACTACTTCAACTCTTCATTGGAGTGCAAGATCTGCAAGGAGCTTCTTCTTCTTCATCAACATAGAGAAGAAATTTGAAGATATTAATTTCTCTTACCCACCTTTGGTGGAAGACTCTTGATCTACCTTGGGTGGAAGAGTGTACCTTCAGACCTAAAAGGACTTGTTGAGGATTACTCTCTTGAGTATATCTTGCTCTATCGTTGAGGTGATAGAGAGATTTGGCAAACAAGTCTATCTTAAGAGATTTTGTATTGGATTATTCTATAAGAGTAATCAGATTTCTTAAATATTATTATAAGATCTGTTGAGATCTCCTCTCCTTAACCTGTTTCATGGCTTCTGGTCAAGAGATGGATGCTACTAAGGAGGTGCCCGTTGCTGGCAATAAGGGGGATAATGCTGCTGCTGCTGCTGACATTGATCTCAACCTTGAGGATTTCGTGGTTGACATGGAGATCAATGGAAGTGAAGCTGGCCTTGAGGCTGATGCTGAATATGAGGATGAGGCTGGCTCTGATGAGGATGTGTCTAACGAGATTGAGAACAGTGCTGTCAAACTCCAGACTCAACTCACGGAGCAGAATATTCTCATTGGAGTGCAACAGTGCCGTATCCAGAACTTGGAGGCTGATTCTGTTAAGCTTCAGGCCTTGATTGAGTAGCTGACCAGGGAGGTACAGTTGATCCCTAAGGAAAACGACACCTCCAGCTTCATTCAGAACCTCCAGACCACTCTCCAGTTCGTGCAGGATCAGCTCAAGAAGCAAGAGAAAAACATCTCTGTGCTTCGGGCTCAGTACAGGGAGATCCGGCGTGGCAACCTCTATCAGCCTGCTCCTGCAGCAGAGCGAGTCGCCAATGCCGCTAACAGCCATGCTGCACCTGCTGCTGCACCTCCTGCTGTTCCTCCTCCTTCTGGAGCACGTGCTGAGCCTCCTGCTGCAACTGCAAATGCCTTTGGCTCCTGCCCTTTGGCCCTGCCTCGTTTTGTCCATGGCAAGACCGACGTCGAGACTTGGCTTTCCATTGCGGAGGACTTTATGTCCATCCACAATGTGCGTAGCGAGGCTCGCATGGTCGCTGCAACCCTTGCCTTGAACGACACTGCGAGCAAGTTGGTGTATGCCAACAAGCGCCACGCAGAGGCTAATGGTCATCCTTTTGGCTGGGAGGAGTTCAAAGCTGCCATGTTGGTGGCATTCCTGGGTCAGCCCCTGGCGCTCGAGGTGCGTAGCCGCCTGGAGAACATCCAGTGCGGTGACCAGCCTGTACGCGAGTACGCCAAGGAGTTTGAGAAAACTCTGTCGCTACTGAAGACTGCTCTTCGTGAGAGCGAGGTCATCCACCAGTTCTTCAAGGGACTCCCTGAGCACATCAAGCGTGTGCATGTTGTGCACGGGGAGCACCAGTGGAGGGCCTACAAGGAGTGCAAGGAGCAGGTCATAGATACGGATGTGAATTTCCGTGCGTACATGACTCACGCTCGTGCTCAGCAGCAGCCTAGTGCCGAAGGCCCTAGGGGGGGTGGTAACAGGACTCAGGCACACAGGGGCGGTGGCTCTTGGAAGAGGCCCTATCAGCAGAGGGGGGAATCCTCTGGGACTCAGTCCAAGAGGGCCCATGCTGGGCCTGCCAAGGATCCTCAGGATGAGGATAAGCCCCCAGCGGGCTGCCGCATCTGTGGCAAGCTCGGCCACAAGTCCTATCACTGCCGTTGGAGGAAGTCCGTCAAGAACTCCGGCAAGCCCAACTAGGGCAAGAAGCCGGATGGTTCTGGCCGTTCGGGCCCGAAGGATTTTCCGAAGTCCAACTAGGGGGTGGGTACCTAGTTGGTGAGCGAGATCGAGTAGATGAGGCTTATGTCCTTCGTGACGAGGATTTGCTAAAGCTAGAGAAGCTTGCATCATGCAAAATCGCTTGTTTGTATGCCTCTTCTATTAATGAAAAATCTGTTTTTAAAACTCGATCATACCCACTTGAAAACATCTCGATTGAATCCTTGAGAGATAAATTTTCAATCATCTTTTGCTCGTTCAACGGGTTGCCAGCAATCATGGATATTGTGGACCGTTGTGTCCAAGAGCACCCGCTCACGTCAGTGGGACTAGTGACTCGAATCGTGAGAGGAGAGTTGTTCCGTCGATTTCACGAATGGCATATCCTGGCAACATGGGACAAAGGGCACCATGTTTGGTGGACCACATCCCAAAGGTTTGGACGTGCTCACAACAAATTTAGGGTGTACTTTCGACCTCCTAAACTTGTTGTTGCTTGTCCCATCCGTCCAAGATTCCAACAGAATTTACTGTTATCTGGACGCATGAATGGGGATGAAGCAAGGATTCTCGCCGATACAGGCACGTCGGTTTCCCTTGTTGATGAAACTTGGGTCACGAAACGCAACGTCCTCGTTGTAGGACCGTCATGTCCCATCCGCTTGGGTGACGATCGTGTCATTCCAAGTAAAGGACAGACACATATCGACATGAATGTACAGGACTATAGCGAAACAGTTCGTGTGTATGTCCTACCACTTTTGTCAGGTGTCGACCTCATCCTGGGCATGGATTGGTTGCGAGCCAACGAAGTCATTCTGGACTTCCAGTACAACATTGTCTCGTTCAACAAGAACAGAAAGGCAATCCAGTGGCAAGTCAATGATACTTTGCCCACTGAAACACAGACGCCTGAACGTCCCAGCGCGCTGTGTGTGTTGGCCAACCAGTTCGAGCATTCTCTTAAGTCGGCTGATACACTGTTCGTGGTACAGCTTGAGAATGCTGAGGCCTCGGAGCCAGCAATTGAGGATTTCCCTCCTCAGATGCAAATACTGGCAGAGGAATTTAAGGAAGTTTTTGAAACCATCCCTGATGGACTTCCGCCTGACCGCGCAGTGGGTCACACCATCCCTGTTGAACCAGGAAAGGTTCCACCCTTTCAACCTCTGTATCGCCTCAGTCCAGCTGAGTACAAAGAGGCCAAACAACAGATCGAGGAATACCTCAGAAAAGGATGGATTGAACCCAGTGCATCCCCTTACGGAGCACCGATTTTGTTCGTTAACAAGAAGGGCGGAGGATTACGCATGTGCGTAGATTATCGTGCTTTGAACAAGATTACGGTGAAGAACAGATACCCTCTACCACGAATTGAGGATCTGTTTGATAGGCTCCAAGGAGCTCAGTGGTTCAGTGCGCTGGACTTAGCTCAGGGGTATCATCAGCTGCGCATCACCGAGGAAGATGTTCCTAAAACGGCTTTTCGAACGCCGTTTGGACATTTTCAGTGGCGTGTGTTATGTTTTGGCTTGACAAATGCTCCCGCGTCATTTCAGCGCGCAATGAATGATGTGTTTCGGGAGGCAATCGGCCAATTCGTCCTAGTATACTTGGATGACATCCTCGTGTACTCGAAGACCGAAGAAGAACACACGCAACACCTGAAATGGGTGTTAGGAAAACTGCGAGAGCATAAATTCTTTGCTCGGTTGTGAAAGTGTCACTTCTACAAACGCGAGTTAGAATACCTTGGTCACTTGGTAGGCAACGATGGCCTCAAAGTTGATCCAAAGAAAGTGGCGGCAGTCCAACAGTGGCCCGTTCCACAGGACGTGGGACAGGTCAGGTCATTCCTTGGACTTGCGAACTATTTTCGCCGCTTCTTGGAAAATTATTCCTCCATAGTCGCCCCACTGACTGCCCTCACTCGTAAGGGTAATGCTTGGCAGTGGACCGATCAATGCCAGAAGGCATTTGAGGAGGTGAAAACCATGCTGACCAATGCTCCAGTGCTGGCTTTGCCAGACCCGTCCAAGCCCTACGAGGTGGTAACTGATGCCTCGACAGTAGGGATTGGAGCAGTTCTTTTGCAGGAAGGACGCCCCGTGGCATTTGAGAGTAGAAAGCTTTCACCGGCTGAGCAGCGCTATACAACTTCCGAACAGGAATTGTTGGCAGTTGTGCATGCGCTACGAACATGGAGATGTTATCTCGAAGGTGTTGACTTCGTGGTCACGACCGACCACTGTCCGAACACCTATTTTGCCACTCAAGCCACACTCACCCGCCGTCAAGCTCGATGGGCTGAACTCCTCAGTGGGTTCACCTATGATATTCGATATCGAGCGGGCTCGACAAACATGGCTGATCCTCTGAGCAGACAGCCGATTGGTGCAGCAACGGGTGTTGATGATAATGAACATGAAGCAGTGTTTGCTGCTTGTTTCAACATCCTCGCAGCTGCTCGAGTGAGTGAGATTGCCTTTGGTGGTTTTCTGAAACGCATTCGCGCAGGGTATGATATTGACCCTTGGTTTTGGAACCCACAGAATACAAAGGATCTCTTGTGGGAGCATGAGCTCTGGTGGCACAAGAAAGAAATTGTTGTCATTAAGACACTAGGAACGAAACTCAAGATGTCGTCTGCTTTCCACCCACAAACGGATGGACAGACAGAGCGGAGCAACCGCACCCTTGAACAAATGCTTCGTTCTTTTATAAGCCCAACTCAGGACGATTGGGATGAGTTGTTGTCAGTCGTAGAATTCGCTGTAAACAATTCAGTGCATGAAAGCACCCATGAGAAACCCTTTGTCCTGAACTGTGGTCGGCACCCCACAACCCCTGCGACGCATGGGATTAAGAGCCTAAAAATCCCCGCCGTGAAGGACTTTATTGGAAAGCAGGAAGCAGCATTGAAGTCCGCTCGTCACTGGCTACAGCTTGCCCAACAGAGGCAAAAGTCCTATGCCGACATGAAACACCGGGAAGTCGTCTTTGCAATTGGCGACAAAGTATTACTGAGCACGAAGAATATTCGTCTCAAGATCCCGGGAGCACGAAAGCTCTTCCCTCGTTGGATTGGGCCCTTCGAGGTGATTGCGCGAGTTGGTGAGGTCGCATATAGGCTCAAGTTGCCTGCGATATTGCATATTCACAACGTCTTCCACGTGTATCTGTTGAATAAGTATGTTGCAGAAGGCAAGTACTTACCACCACCAACCATCGTTCTCGGGGAGGAACTTGTCAGTAGAGCTACACTGTGAGATCCCCGATCGATCCTAGGGGGGGTTACAGGCGCGTTTGCCTGGGGGGTTATGGGCGCACTGACCCGCTACTGAAACAAGCCCTCTTATCCCAATGGTCTAGTGGTTGGGATTCTGACATGGTATCAGAGCGGTCTCGGGTTCGAATCCCGGTGTATGCACATGTTGGCCGTTGCCACTGTGCTCAGTCCTGGGCCTCCCAGTGTGGGGGGGTGTCAGTAGAGCTACACTGTGAGATCCCCGATCGATCCTAGGGGGGGTTACAGGCACGTTTGCCTGGGGGGTTATGGGCGCACTGACCCGCTACTGAAACAAGCCCTTTTATCCCAATGGTCTAGTGGTTGGGATTCTGACAGAACTCTTTTATGAAGTCGAACGTGTGCTAACGCACCGTGATCGACAACGCGGCCGCAAAACAGTTCGTGAGTTCCTAATTCAGTGGAAAGGCTATGGGCCGGAACACAACTCTTGGGAGCCTGAGGAACACTTGACCGAAGCAGCGGTTCAAGCGTATATGGAAGACCTGGCTCTACGAGCAGGCCCACAACCAGTGGACGGGGTTGACCCTGGTCGTAATGTGGTGCGCCGGGCTCGAAGCGCTCGTCCTAAGAAGCACCCTAGGGCAACGAGGACGTTGCCACCTGGGGGGGGAGGAGTGTAACGCATCGACCTACTTCTCGCCTAACTCCCTAGCTAACAACCTAACACTCAAAGGCATTCGTCGAGATTGCTCTCGATAGTTATTGGGCTACGAGTGAGTGAAGGTTGAGTTGGGAGAGAAAGGGTTGGGTTGGGAATTCCAAACCTCAACCAATAGGTTTGGGAAATTCCAACCCATCAAAGTGGAATGTTGAAGGTTGGATTTCCAACCAATCAAAAACTGCCAAATCAGTGTAACAATCTACTCTATCTTAAAAACAACCATTCAATGGTTCTAGGTTGGGTTTTCCCAACCCAACTAATTGCCACATAGGCTCCAAGCCTAGGAACCATCCCACCATGGAAACCATGGTTGGGATAGTTCCCCAAGGGGTGTATTGAGGGGGTCTGAGCTAAGCAAGCTCATTTTCTCAACCTCCCACTCCAACTAAACAATTGGAAATGGGATTATTTGGCTAAGTCATTTTGGCTCTCTCACAAGCTTCCCTACACTACTATTCCAAGTGTTTTCCATCAAAGGCATCAAGAAGATCTTCATCTCCAAGGCTATTAAGGCTAGTTAGAGCTACTATTTTGTATTGGAATATTATAAAAGCCTGGTAACCGCCATTATAATAGTCTTGGCATTACACTCGACGTCCCATTGTCCGGAATTTCCCACACTTGGCAGAAGCACTGTTATGATGTGACCGCCAGAAACCCGTTCGCCAGCCTCTGTCGAGGCGATTGGAAACGGCACGGGCTGTCCCAACAGATCCGGCGAAATCATACGTAACACTTAGGATGGTAGCTTCCTGTTGTAGCGGAAGTCTTATATGAGTTAAAGCCTGTTATGAAAGCTTTGTCTGGACTTAATAAAAGCCCATGTAGTGATATGTTTCAGGATCGATGTCTCTGAAATCAGATATATTATAAATTGACAAACATACAAAAATATATAGCTAGAGTAAAGTACCTGTTCGCCTACTGTATTGTGATTTTCTTGTTCTGAAACGGTACGTAACTTTTCGCGAGGTCTATGGCTACGTGCTGACGTCATCCTATGGCGCG